ATGCAGCCCATCCTCTCCATTTGGAGCTGCCTATTATCATGGAAAGATTAACATCTTTGTTGCAGAAACCAGGATCGCCAGCCCTTTGAAGACCCCAGCCCTCCTCTTACCTGTTAACTGCCCATTTGGCATACCCTTTGGCTACCTCCCCATCTAATATTTGTTCTACCCAATATAAGCAGTGGGCTTATGGTGAGGTGCAGATTTTTGTGGATGACCTGCTGCTCTCCCATACTGCCGGAAGTATTGGAGTAAACGCTCATATAGGATTCAGCCCTGTCTCTGCTTAATTGGCTCAAATAGTGACAGGCAGCACGGACCCACTGATTGTCTGGTTACACTCTCTATACTTTAATGATATTTAGCTTTCCATATCTTTCAGTAACATACAATACTATTCCTGCAATGTCACAGCCCACTTTCCTTCTTTCTCCTTCGAGGCTTTGTATATCACGTGTGGTCAGCAGAGAGCAACAAATAATTGATTCTACTTTGATAGCAATATTCATTTTAAATTCTAGATTCCACAACCAACATTTTGCAGATCATTCTCCTCACTCCAAGCTCAGAAACAGCTTCCCATTGACATACAGACTTTTTCCCCCCACAACAGAAAGGCGGCGGCGGCAGCGGCGGCGGTGGTGGTGGTGGTGGTGGTGGTGGGGGGGTGTGTGTGTGTGTTGGGGGGGGGGGGCCGGGAGAGTCATGCAGGAAAGGGCTGAACAATTAGACCTGACTTCTAAACTAGGCTTCCCCACTGCAAGTTACCTCACCATGTGTAAAATGGGGAACTAGCACCTACCTTGAAGACTTATTATGAGAATTAGCAATACTTTATGTAAACGCATAATATAAAATGAAAGCTTAATATGGTACTCAGACCGGCGGTCCTGAAAAGCCCTTCATGAAGACAAATACTCGCCTCTGCACAGCCCAGGGTGGAGTGACCTCACAGGTGCAATAACTCGTGAAGTATGCAGGGGCGTGGTGGTGGTGATGGTGGTGGTGATGGTGGTGGAGGTGGTGGTGGTGGTGGTGGTGGTGGTGGTGGTGGTGGTGGTAAATTAGCAACTCTTGTTCCCACCCCCCTCCATGGTGCCAGGTGCTGTCCTTTCCTGGTGGCTATGCAAGGGACTGATGGCACTTGGAAGTCAGGAGAACAAAAACACACAATTCCTCTGCCCCACAAAGGATTATCCCCCTGCACCACACAGAGTTGCAGATTGTCCCTAATTCACAAAACGATTGTTTCCTAAAACTCAGCACATATTATATACTGTGTTAGTGAGTTGGTTTGTATGAGCTTACAGTGGATTTCTCCCTACAAAAGAATATTGAGCCACCTATTAAAGCTTACTTAATCCACAGTATTAGCTAACAAGAATGGACACTTAGTAATTAATCTCTCACTCCTGCAAGGCACAAAAAAATATTATTAGTCATTATATCACCCCCACTTTACAGAGCTGAGACAGAGGCTCAGAGAGGTTGGGCAACTTAAGGTCAGAGAAAGCTGGTAAGTAGCATAAAGATGGTGAACAGGACAGAGAGCACCGACCTAAAACTCTGGTTTCCCACAGAGAGGCAACTGGCTGTGTGAGGAAGAGGCACGAGAGGAAGCAGTTTTCCTCTTTTGTCCTTGAGTGTACGGTAAGCAGTCCACAAACATCTGGACAAGGCATCTCCCTTGTTGGGCTCCTTCCTCTCTCCCAGGCAACCTCTGGTCTCAGTGGGCCTGGGTGACCTCTATTAGAGCTCTGCCCCAAGCAGCTGAACCATCCCAATCACCAAGCCCCCTACCTCACCATCAAGTCCCGCCCCACATTCAAAGCCCCATTCCTAATCCTATGAAAATAACCAGATCATCCATTCACTCAATTATTATTATATTACATACCTACTGTTTGCAGTGTTAATTCCTGGGAATGCAGCAACAAGAGACCTTGTTTCTCCCCTCACGAAACAAGAATACCAAGGTAATCATAAGAATGACCATCTATGTTGTTTAGAAGAGAGAAAGGAAACCTGGATGTTCCATGAAAGAGTAGTGGTCACTGAAATTGAGGTATATACACATTATTGAATACAGGGCACCAATGGAAATGATACAGATTATACAGAAAAAGTCCCTGCCAAGATGTCTACACTGTATTAATAGGAAATAGTTAATAACACCTGAGTATAGAGTATGATAGCATTTGGGGTAAAAATATAACATGACATAGATCAGCAATAACAATAAAAAGCAATCTAGAAGGATATCCCAGGATGTCAACAGTAGTCAACAAGAGTTGTAGGATTACAAGTGATATGCTTTTCTGTATTTTCTGAATGAGCACATATCTTATCATTAGAAAAGCATTACAAATTTCTATTTTGGAACAAAACAAAGCCACATCCCTGTTCTATCTCTTATTTGGTAAGCACTCAAATATTTGTTAAATAAATCAGCCAATTAGAAATGAAATCCACTTCAGTGGTGATTGGCAGAAAACAGCCACAGTGAACTATCATTCTAACTGCGGCATAAAACTAGAAAATTTACGGTATGTCCTAGGCTGGTAGCTCAGTTGGTTAGAGCATTCATTATCCCAATACGGCAAGTTTGAGGGTTTGATCCCCAGTCAGGGCACATGCAACAATCAACCAATGAATGTATAAGTAAGTGAAACAACAAATCGATGTTTCTCTTTCTCTCTTTCTCTCCCCCCCCCACCAATAAAAAGTTTTTTAAAACTAGAAACATTTACTGTACTATACCTTTAAAAATTATTAAGATGGGAAATTTTTTGTTTTTTTAACACAATAAAAAAATAAAAATTCTTTAACTCCTGTAATATTTTTTAGTTTTATTTATATAAATAAACATTTACTTGGTAGAATTTAAAACAAATAAACATAAAATGAGAAAAATTAAACAGCTACCTATACGTAAGTCCAAGGAGTTGAACAAGCTATATATTTGCCCAACCCAGAAATTAGCTCAGTTTCTTACATTTTTTCTCTTTTGAGTTTAAAGAATCCCTTAAAACCCCAAGGTTTTCACAGTCATTCCCAAAACTGTGGCAGCAGGATTCTGGGGGTTTGTCAGAAAGGAGGTTCTGACAGGTGGTTTCTCACACAGGTTCCAACATTCCAGAACATGTTAGTTTCCACAATCAACAGCATTTCCATGAAAAGCAAAGTCAAGGGTGAGTGTCCTTCCTTAAAGGACACTTAGTACCCAGAGGGTCCAAGTCTGAAACGGGCAAAGACAGGCTGTGAGCACACACGGTGTCTGACCAGGGGCTGGAACAAAACCAGTCCCCCAGGTAGGGAGTCCCTTTCTCACGAGGTTAGGGTTACTTTCAGCACCAAGGAATGTTGACCAAGTTCTCTGTTCTCAGACAGCAGTTGAATTCTTTGAAACATTCCATCACACCACCCTCCACATGTGATATACTTTAGCAGGTTTAAGGTTAAAAGGTAAACTAAATCCACTTTCAACAGAAAACAAACATTCCCGGGAGATCACTTAGAGCAGGTTGTCAATCTCAGCCCCATGACATTGGGGCCTATAATTCTTTGTTGGGGGCTGTCCTGTGCACGCATCCTTGGTCTCTACCTACAAGATGCCTCTACCCCATCCCCTCTTCCTCTGCCTCACAGATGGTGACCATCAGAAATGCCTCAGACAATGGTCCTCCAATCTGGTGAGAACCCCTGATTTGGGGTTAAGAGCAAGAGCTATGGAGTCAGGCTGTCTAGGTTCACACCCAACCGCAAACACTACCTGATAATGCGGCCTGGGACCAATTCCCTAGGTCTCAGTTACCTCAGTTGTAAAATGGGAATAAAAAATATCTACTTCAGGGTTTAATGAGACAATTCAGGCAAAGTTCTCAGCATAGAGCCTAACAAAGGGTACATCTCATCCTCCCTCCCCCCTTCCCCCTCCCCCAAAAAGCCAGTTGTTATCATCTGCATCATCACAGTCCTCTCCCTCCTTCCCAGAGATGCCCCTTCTCTTCAGTCCATCAAGTCAGCATGGAAAGAAGTAAAGATGGGGGAGGGCATCAAGCATTAATGCCCGATTTATAACAGGTTTTTTCATTTTCTGCTCAGAAATGCATCTGTTGAAGGAAAACACTTCTAGAAACAAAATTCCTAAGAGCTGAACCCAAGAGAGCATCCTAGCCACTTGGGGAAAAGTTCCATGTGTTTGGAAGCAGTTCCTAGGTGCCCAAAAGCCAAAGCCATCTGTATGTCCTCCAAGGAGCGAACAAGGCAGTCCACACACTCATTTGCACCCACGAAAGCCACAAATACCTGCCGCAGAACAGGGCTGAGAAAGAGGCGTGTTACGCGAGTTCTAGAGGAGGGGGAAAAAGGTGCAAGAAAACAAAGCCTTGAAATTCAAAATAGACAAGTCTAGAATGTGGGAAGAGAAGTGCTTACTAGGTTTAAATCATTGTTTAAAGTTAGTTTTAAATTTCCTCATTGAAATAAGGAGGGAAAAATTGTACTTGTTTATAAGAACTTAACAACAAGCAGTTAACGAAACACAAAACCCCAAATTTGCCTGCTTGTGTCACGGAGACTATGCAGTAATGGAGAAATCTGCCAGCCCCTTCTGAGAGGTGCTTTATGCCAGCCCAAGCCCTGCCAAGCCTCGAACGCTTCACAGCCTGGCCAGAGAGCCAACCCCCACCCACAGCCTGCCCTACGCTCTGGGACAGGGATGTGGGGATGAGAAACTGTCCTCTGCCCTCCTAGGCTCTTCCTGCTGTTC